TGACAAGGTATGGCTGGCCTTGCTAGCTGCGGTCTGGCATAGTTATTTTGGAGAGTCTGGCTTCTGTTGATGTTCACTTGGTAACAGCAAAGGGAAGTTGAAAAAAACTAAACAGTATTATCAATGAGCCTGTTCTACAAGCTTGTTATGACTCCAGGGGCAGGATTCAAGCTATTCTGATACTTGAAGCTATTACAAGCTGCCATTAGAGAAGAAAGGTGCCCTACTTCAGCAGGGAAGTACTTGATTCATTCCTCTGCCCAAAATGTTATGTGCATGTATATTTTATTAGCACTTTCCCACTGCTGTTCATCAGAAGGGCAATTTTACCACCACTCCAAAATGGTTTAAGTACATTCACAGAAATAGCAACCTCTGTACCAGACTACGAGACAGCAAGGGGCCTGTAGCAGAAATAGCTGCTGAGTGAACAACTGTAATAAAACACAGAAGAGTCTCAGGTGAAAACAAAATATCTGAAGGCTGTGTCGGTTTAAAAAAATGCACAGGAAAGTTGTTCTCTAAGTAACAAATGATCTACTTTAAGACACATGCTTACTGTTGACTATTATTTGTCAGCAATTGCTTCCTCTGAATTACTGTTAAATTCAACTGATTGGTCAGAAAAGTGAAAGGACTAACACTTGTCTTGGTACGCAGTTGCTCTTTATCGTGACTTCTGTAATCATGCTGAAAACTGTTCTCTCATCTGCACTACAAATTATAAACCAAGCAATGCCATCTCAAGGGGCAATTTTCCACATTAAATTCATCTTGGCTGGTTACAGACTTGTAGAATAGATTTGACTGCAAACTCTAGTACTAACAATAATTCTGTAAGGTCCCCTTGACTCTTCTCAAATTCTAGCAGAAGGTTGGAGCCAGGTGTGCAGAACACATGATCCTACACTTCTGATTTAGGATGCAAAATGTCTACAGTAGTAAGGGATAGGAGGGGAGGGGGAAAATTTAGCAAGAGTTTATGGAAGGTACCTGCTAGAAAAGCATTATTGCTGAATAAGTGTTTAACAATGCAACACAAGGAAATATCTCCTTGTATTTAGGGCAAGCACTTTAAACTGTAAATAAAACATATCAGGCCAGA